TGGAGCCAATACCTACATGCTTTTGACTACGACTAAAATTAATTTRTTATCAATCCACAGGTCCTCTCGGGCCGAACATTAACAAAAGACATGGGAGACGAAGTATTTCTACTCATACAGAAATGTATGGGAAAAACTAGGCAAGACAGAATCAGTTCATTTCAGAAAATTTCCGAAGAGCTTCAAAAACTTCTTGCTGAATGTGACGGAAAAGGTACTTCTACTTTCGTTTTTACCCAATACTTATTTTTCTCCTCATCAGCTTTCTGTTGTGAGTTGAGTGTTATGTGTTGTACAAATGGTGAACGTATTGGTAGTGCGTGTTGAGCAAACATCATTAAAAGGCCCATCATGGGAAGAGATATGTGTAAATGTTACGTAAATATAACTTTACGTCATTTACTACCCGAGTCCAGGAATCGAATCCGAAAGCCAAATATATTTAAAGTCTATAAGTATTAAGTTTAATATCTTAAAGAAAAATTGTATGACATTTCGTTCATTACAAGGTGCAGATGAACGTCTTAGACTGATTTCAGAACCTTTGCCAAAGGAAGACAAAGATATTGACGTTGTAAGTATGTTAATTGTTTGACGCACAACAATTTTTGTTTTCCACCTTGTACAGTGTCGTCGGAGTATTTACGCAGTTATCATATTGCAAGAACATGCGCATGCAACTCCGTGTGGGAGGGGGTGCGACATTACTACGCAGTTTTATAAGATTTATGCTCATTTTTTCTTAGTCTTATACTCATAATCCTAGAGTATTAAAATTGTACAATTTGTAATAATTTTCGTTCTTTCTTAAAAAAAGATGAAAAATACACCAAACACAACCAAAGAATCATTGAGCCTTGTGGATAACAGTAAGCAACATTTGGAAAAATTAAGGTTATTGGACCATACGCATCTTGCTAGGGTTGTAGAAGATCGGAAAACCAAATCTGGAAGAGTGATTGTAAGTGTTATGAGAGAGAAAATTAATGTTTTTACAGACTAAGCTAGACATCAGTTTTCTAATTACTATTTCTTATCGTATGAAAACAAGATAAAGTACGATCAATTAGTCATTGAAAATATCGATATAAGATTTCAGTAAGGCTACCATCACCCAAGTTTAGATGATGATATGCTTTGAATTTACAAGTAAACTTCTTAGCTCCTCCCATTAGCATGTACACCTCTGGTTACACCCTACACACTCTTTACCCCTTTGCTTAGTTATTTTGGCACTATTCTTTTAAATCTTATGATATAAATATCCCTCGTAGACCTTTCAATACATTTACCATATATGCACATATTATCTTTAGTTTAAGCAATGTTTAGTTCTATGATTTTCACTCGTATCACTCTTTAATAAGATATCACACTTAGCAATTTACTATTTCCATTAGCCAATCAAGACACAGCGATAATATCATATTGATTGTAGGATGACACCTGTCATGAAGTTATTATAAATAGAGCTCATGTAATGTAATTAGTTTAAGTCAGAAGAGTAGAAGAAGAGAAAGTGGAATAAAGATCCCGTAGCTCGTACCGAGAGCGGTCAATCCCATAACATAAGTATCAAGAGCACAGCAGCAAATGACTGCAATTTTCCCCCAGCCTTTTTAGTATCTTAGTTTTATAATAGAATAGATGTTAAATTAGCAGTACTAAGACGAAACGAGCCCTTCTGAAGCCACAACATTTTCTGGTTGCCTTCGAAGAGAGCTAGAATACATTGGACTAATGTCGAGTTATTTATGTGCACTTTTTTTTTTTCAACAAGGCCTACGAAAACTGCGAGGGTCCAAGTCTACGACATTACATCTTGAGTAACAAATGTACACCTGAAGATGTGATTGAATTCGCTGCTCAAATCACCGAAGCAATAAACTACCTCCACCAAAAGAACATCGTACTTTGCGTTTTAAATGCTGAAAGCGTCAGGGTTGTCAAAAAGAATCATGTTAGTATTCGCACGAACATTTGTGTGTTATATGAATTCCTTGTTCTACTGTGCCTTCCTGAATCAATATTTGCTAACCGTAAATTGAATGTAGTTTGATAAGCAATGACTCAAGAAATTGAGGATGACAGTAAACGATTTACACAACAATAGCTATTAGGAGTGTGTTGATGGGGTTTTAATAGGGGGTATGATCATGATGGGGTACCCGATTGTCAGTTAAATGCTAAAACAGTTAACTGACTATCGGGTACCCCATCATATCCCCTATTAATGCTTCTAAAAACTTAATTTAACTTTCTTTCTTCAGGTGAAAATCTTCGGATTGCACTTCTCTAGAAGCATTTTACCATCTTGCAACCAGTTCAACACCTCATTTGGTGTTGTGAATGGCGAGGTTCATCCAGATGTATATCGTTGGTAGGTCAACAAAAAAAGTTTTCAGAGTAGCATTTCTTTTACTGTTTTCGTCTTTCTATTTGATTCCAGTACCATTCAGTATTTAGTACTTTAAAGTGCCTATCACCCTTATTTTGTTATTTTTTTATATCGAAATATAAGCTATTCTAAGAAACGTGTCCAAGGAATTTTTCGCTTCTGACGCTTCTTTCTATTTTTTTCCGAGCGGTCAAAAGTGCGAAAATAGTATAATATTCCACCCTATGTATTGTTATTAATGAGGTATGAGGCATCCACTCTGGCCTGGAACAATGCCCAGGTAACCCAGAGTGTAATGTTTTTTTATCCCGCTTGCTCGCGGGTGAGGCGGGTGGGTCGACGTCTGTACTCTTCCCGTTAATTTGAATGAAGTGGCACCAGAGGGACCACGCTTCCCTTTATATATACTCTATTTGCATATTACAATTCCCATCATAATATTCACACTGACTGTGAATAGGCATTTCTTTGACTCTGGCCGCGTAAAATGATAACCTAGAGGACTGGGCTGTGACGTAAGAGGAGTAAGTTGGGTTTAGATGCTCCCCTCATTCTCTCTAGATTTCACTAAAGGAGGATGTTTACCTAGCATGCTTTGCGCGCCTCCACCAACTATATTATCACACTGAAAAGTCACGTGATCTACTCATTTTCGCTTTSATGWCAATGCAGAAACATCGACTATGGACTCGACTATGGAGATTATAGAGGGAAATCGTGAGCCCTTTTTCACTTCGGATCATCTCTTTCTCTACTGTATTGTCAAAAAGGATCAATTAGACTGAATTTGCTGGTATTACGTGTTTTAAATTTGTGACAGTTATCAGCCATCTTCCCAGGCATTTTCTTTGAAGAAAGAAGACTTGCATCGTTTTGAACCAAAGACAGTCTCGATTTTCCGGAAGAAAATCGCTAGTGAATAAAGTAGTTTTATCTAGCAGCTGTTGTTCGAGGTAATATACAAAAGTCATGTGTTAATTTGTTGTTGTTTATCTACCCTTGAGAAAACTATACAATCTACTTTCTTCGATTGAGTATTTTCTTTGAATGTCTTGCCTTTGTATTAATTTGAACTTTTAAGCTTTTTGTAAATTTGAGTTCTTAAAGAAAATTACACAATCTGCACTGTGAAATGATAGGTTTGGCTTTCTTGAGTTGAATAAAATTAGTTTCTAGTGGTTTGACTATTTATAATGGTAATTGAACTGAGTGGAGTGCAATTTGGTCTGAAATCAAACGCGCGACCGCGTAGCGGGAGTGCGATTTGTAATTGCAAGTTTGATTTCAGGCCAAAATTGCATTCCACTCAGTTCAATTACCACTTTATTATATCCATTTTGAAATCTTTTTTGAAAAAGACGTTTTTTCCAGTTAAACCGACATGACTTACAATCTAAAAGCAGTCGATTCAAACATGCTGYCAAGAGARCTTGTTTATACTGATCGAGCAATGATTCTCATTTTGAAAACCAACACTTTCAATCCAAAACTAAAATGAATTTATACCGAACCAAAAGGCATTACATGTATTAAGAATCTCTTACTTACATTAAATAACAAGACAATCCTGCCCAAAAGGGTTGTAATGAACTGGCTGTTGTCCATATTACAGCCAATGCTCACTGCTTGTTCTGTTCAACATGTTTAGATCACACTTGTGCCCGCAAAACAGCAAAAATCAAAGGTTGTTTAGTCCTTCGGTTGTCCTTAAGAAGTCACGTAGCTCAACAGAAATCTTCTTCTTAAGAAAAACTTCTTTTAATGACTGTATTTTCGATGTGTTGTTATGCTTTAAAGATTGAAAAGGAAACCACTTTCCACGATCAATCGCCAAGAAGTCACATTCAAAAGATGCCGATTGCATTTTCTCCCACTGCTTTTCGCTGTAATATCTTCAACTTACTTAAGCAATTACTTTACAAAGATGCTTTTGACGATTTTAAGTGATCAGTTGGTCTTTTTAAGTCCTTTTTACGGCTTTTTAAGTCTTTATTTAAGACTGTGGACGGTAAAATCGTTCTTCAGAAAATTTTTTTTTTTGAGCCGTGGCTCTTTTTTTTTTGCAAGAAGCGGTGAGCTCAACACTCAGATGGATTCCTTGATATAATTGGCTAGAAAATGACATGTCTCTCTTGTGATTGGCTCATATCAGTTGATGTGCAAAATCGTGCAATTTAGAGCTCAAAATCGTGCAATTTATGCTGAAATCACTACTGCAGGGAACCAATCAGATTGCAGGATTTGCTTGTGATTTCAAAACGGATGTAATAAATTCGTTTATAGTTTGTTAGATTAAGGTAATTCTTGAATTGTTTGTCGGGCTTGTGACACGTGCTATGAATAAAAGTAAGCTTACTCTTTTCCCTCTTTAATAAAACTACCTTCGATTGATAAAATAAAAAATAAAACATTTTTCATTGTCATTGTTATTATATGAAGTATACGTTTGAATTTTAAAATCAAGATTATCAGATTTGTCTGAAGATACTCAAAAATACAATTTTTGGTAATCTAGCAGGTCACGTCAAATCAAGGACGTAAGACAAGACGAAGCGAAACACAAGGCGAATTTTAGTGGAAATTGTAATGGCCGTATCTCACTCAAACTTGGAGACTTAAGGAGACTTAAGGGATATAGCATAGTATGAAGGCTATACTTTGTGTAGGTGTTTCCTTTTTAAAATTTTCTTCGTTTAATTTCGACTTATTCCCACATAATTCAAAGCCTACAAACACTTCGCTTGTCAAAACAATTTTTATCTTTTTCTATCCATTCATTGATACGGCATATTTTGATTTTTCCTGTGGCAAAAAATTACGAAAATACCGAACAAGGTCCCAGTTAGATGTCCAGACTTTCTATTGTTTGTCAGTATGGATGCAGAAAATATTGAATAAGCAAACGGCTGTTGTTTTTGTTTGGCGAAATAATCGAGGAAAATCGTCGTCGAGAGGAAATTTTTCAAACAAACGCTAAAGACAGATGCATAATGAGCACGGCGCGCAAAGCATGCTAGGTAAACATCCTCCTTTGATTTCACTAGTATTTATGACCAATTTGCCGGGTTTTTTTACGCTTTCAAAAGACCTAGTATTTCTGGTTAGAGGATGTTAATTACTTCAGACTTCAGGAATGATATTATTTTTGAATTATGTTAAGAAAAAGAAAAGCAGCGAGAAGTTAAACGCCACCTAGGGAAAACCTCATATTAGGTTGTCACGCTCAGAATCAAGTGTAATAAATTAGCTTCAAAAACTTATAGATTTCACATACAGTAACTCTAAGCACTACATGTACCTACACCCTTTAACTCATAGATTTTTTAGCATTATTCTTATTAATATCTCATGTATTTATGGATGAATATGTGAGTCCGTGCCGCGCAAAATTCTTCCAGGTCGTTTCCAAATCAGAAACATAAATGACAGAAACAATGAAATAACTCCAGGTAGTTCACAAAATCTTTTTCAATGTTGATGGCTTAACAGTTTTCAAAATCTAAACATGAATTGCATTATATATTTATAATGTCGTAGTTCAGTCGAGGAACTACATGTAAGGGTGCGTGACACTTCGCATCATCAGTCTACTCTTACTCTGCAGGTCAACATGGCTTCACTTCATAGTCGAATATGATATTTTCTATTCTATCAGTTTTCTATCCTGTCTCACAGTATCTAGCCATACCTATCTTTGAAGATAAAACGATCGTCTATCGAGGGAAATTCGATAAAAGTAAAAAATCTGAAGAGCATTATACGGTAGCAAATAATTAAAATATTGTGAATAGTAGTATTATTGTGTCAATCGTAGACATCGTACGGGCATTTGGTCTCAACCATTCATTACAGCCCTTTTAGCATTGCACTAAATATTTCTTAAGAGTTTAATAACCACTGAAATGTTACCACACTAACCCAAAACTGTTTGATTCTTTAATAAACCTTGCTTTGCTAGCTTGTGTTCGCTTCACTAATATACCAGTAAATTAGGCTACGAATCCCGATGAGAACTGGAAATAGAATCTTTAGATAATTAACTTCCTCATAGAAGCCCAATAAAGTAGTTAAAAGTCCAAGGACTTCTAAAAAAACCCAAGAAACGCAAGGACGTTTTCAGTATCCCATACATTTCTTTGTAAATCAAGAAGAGCGTGTTGCTCCTTCTACGTCACTAGCCCAGTCTCCCCTTTCGCTCGGTCATATTTTGAAATCTTCCTATTTTCGCACTTTGACCGCTCGAAAAAAAATAGAAAGGAGCGTCAGAATAAAAAAATTCTTTGGACACGTTTCTTTGAATAGCTTATATTTCGATATAAGAAGGTAAAAAAATAAGGGTGATAGGCACTTTAACCCATCTCTTTCATTGATAATCCCATTGTTATTATTTTTACACCCAACTGATTCTCCTTCCTGCGGCGTCTTTTACTGAGGCAGTAAATAAAATACTGATCTTTTATCAGGTGCGCTAAAGAGGTCATTCAGGAAGGGATATTTTCTACCGCTGGAGATATCTGGTCACTCGGCATGACAATTTTGGAGATGTTTCTGTGTCTTGCAAAAGATGCCGATACTGCAAAACCATTCTCGCAGTATTCTAATGAAGAGGTAGTGTACCTAAATTGCTGTTTCATCATTTATTGTTGATTACCCTAACGTCACAAGCTACTGTGGTTGCGACAAGATAGGATTTTGGTAGACGTCAAACATTTTTTCCTAATACATCATCGGGAAACAGATTTCAAAGGCACGTGAATATGGGAAAAGCCTTGATTGACATTCACCAAAATCTACTCCATTGCTATTGAAAACTCCTGCCGGTTTTTGAGTAGTTGTGTGTTTTTTTTGTGATCATCAGATTTTGGGCGCTTTAAAGAAGAATTGCCGTCCTTTCCAACCTGTCCTATGCCCGGACTGGGTGTACGTACTCGTGACACAGTGTTGGTGTTTAAAAACCACAGAACGAGCTTCTTCATTGTCAGTGCTCGATTGCTTGACACAAAAGTACGTATCTTAGTATCTTCGTTTAGGCCAGATTTTATACTTTGTGCAAATGATATATTAGTACTATCATTCTTAGTAACTGTAGCATTTTAAGGCTTTATTTCATTTATTGAAAAAAATTATAGATAAATATTTAAATTTCAGATGCCCTTGGAAATCTTACCTTCTTCAGCGTTGGATAAAACAGAACGAAATACATGAAAATTGGCCAAATTTGAATGTTGTTCAGCAGCTTGATGAAACTAATCCCATCTCCAGACAAGACGTCGAAAGCTCGGTTTCTGAGGAATTTGCGGGTTCCCATATCTACGACTATGAGGGTCCATTTTGGTTAAAGAAATTTAAAGACCTTGTGATAAGTGGAAAGCGTTTCTTGATGCCATCATCACGACCTCCACGATCAGAACAACGACCACGACTGCCAAATTCACCTCAAGAAACACCGGAAGATATCAAGCACAAGAATCAGAAGGGCAAGGATGAAGACGATTGTGACGATACCTACGACTTGCCAAGACTACCAGAATACGAAGTGACTTGTCCTCCAAGATTGAGATCGGCATCATTCCCACCACTTTCGTTGCCACCAAATTCAACCCAAGAAACAATTACTGATATCAGGCAGAAGGAAAAGAAAGGGGAGGATGACGACACATATTATAATATCGACGACATGACAAAACTACCAGAATACAAGGTGACGGCTTGTCCTCCAAGACTGAGGTCCGCATCATCCCCACCACTCCCCTGGCCACCAAATTCAACCCAAGAAACAATTACTGATACCAGGCAGAAGGAAAAGAAGGGAGAGGATAACGACATATATGATGATACTAACGACAGGCCGAGACTACCAGAACACAAGGTGACAGCTTGTCCTCCAAGACTGAGGTGCGTATCATCCCCATTACTCTCGTTGCCACCAAATTCACCCCAAGAAACACCGACAAATATCAAGCACAAGGAAGAGAAGGGGAAAGAAAACGACATATACGATGATACCTACGATAGGCCAAGAACAAAATGTTTGCATGGTAATTCCGACCAGGAATGCTATACACCTTACCTAGAACCTGATGAATCGTATCAAGGTTTGTCGTATTCCACAGAGAATGGATACATGTCTTTAATAAGCAACTCAAGTGAAAGGATATTCGATGTGGATGTCGCTGGTTTCCATATGGCTTCTACCAATAATGGGGCTGCCAACAATATGGAAAATCAAAAGCCCGTTTTTTTAATGAATATATAACCTTGACAACGACAAGCACGAGCCAACGTTTTTACGCTCAATGACACGTGGCGGTCTAATAATCAAATAGAGAAGCATGATACTGGTTCATAAACTATTAGGGACCGTACTAATAGAATATATACAAGATATGGCTTATAGTGCCTTGTATAGACGCAATCATTTGTAAATAAGTAAATATATCGTTCCCCTTTTCTTACCGACAATTAGAAACAGCATGATTTTAGCACAGGGGAATTTTTAAATTTTCCATATTAATCCATGTCTTATATACCTATACTTATTACTGAATATCTAAAAATAATATACATGATCAGTTGTATTATTTCCATAGCGAGACTTACTCAGTAAAAACCTCTTTAATATACTTTCGTTCCTTCGCTGTTCCTAATCAATGCGCGTGTGAGAAAAGCGATACTTCCAATCAGAAGCCGACAGCAACCGGCTGTTGCTTGGAAAGTATCAGTTTAACGGTGGGGAAAGTGCAGTTAGATTGAACAAAATTCGCTCAGAGTGAAGCTAAGAACAACTAAAACACGCTGTAGAAGATTCATAGGATTTTATTAAAATTCAATGCACGAAAATGAAGATTTATGAAGTCCTATATATTGTATAGTAAACCAGCACAATGTATACGCTTGGGTAACCTGTGGCGTGATCTTAACATGTTTAACAGAAATCGTAAAATGCAAGCAGTAAGCATTGGCTGTATGGACAACAGCCAGTTCATTACAACCCTTTTGGGCAGGTTTGCCTTGCTATTTAATGTAAGTAAATGATTCTTAATACATGTAATTCATTTTAGTTTTGGATTGAAAGTGTTGTTTTTTCTTTTTCCTTTTATGCTTTCTGCGTGCTTTATTACTGAACGGAGCACGGAAAAAGCTGTTTTATATTTGTTAAATATAAGAATGGTAAAATCTGAACTGTGATTCGATGGACAAGAAACTTGGAATTCAAAAAACATATTTTTCATAATCATTTTGTCCATTGGTAGCTTTTATCACGGCAAATAAGTATTCCTTTTCGTTATCTGCTGAATTCGAGGCCAATGGTAACTAAAATTTGCAATCGTTTTAAAAATCGGGCGTTTTGAAAGGCCCTACTTTGTATTTATCTACTTGAGTTTTCATTCAACAGCATAAAGTACTTATTGATTATTGAAAAATTGGAAAATATACGGCTTCGAATCTTTACAACTTTAAAAACTTGAGTTTTACTGATCGAGTCTCATTCCAGTACTGAATGATTTGAAGATTGAACGGACCTGGCACTATAATTGTAGATAAGACGTTGTAAATAAAACCTCTCGGCTAGTATGCTAAACTTGTGCTAACACAACGGGATGTTTTGGTAAGCCTTTGCATAGCTGTCCAGCAGGGCAGGCAACCCAAATTATGCTTTTAGAAGAAGAAGCCTGTAAATCGGAAATAGAATTCGAATCGTCCTCATTTGCATTCAACATGGATTTCTAGTCAAACTCACTTCAATGTCAAACATTTAAAAAAATTTTCTAATTAACCGATTTCAATAAACTTTGAAAGATTTAAGATTTGAAGTATGGAATCTGAGACCGAGTAGAACGCTGCAAATTGTAATATATTTAGAGTTTTAATATATTTTGGTTTTCAAAGCTGGCACTTTTCGCAACTAGTAGGCTATAACTTATAACGTACTAGTAGCTCATCCAATAAGAATGCAGCATTGATGATAGACCACTAGTTGGATTTGACTCTTAAAATATATTATCTGCTTTTAAGAATCCATGTAGGCGTAGTTCATATATTCACCCTTCACACTGCATATGAAAGATTTATGTATAGCGGGTATTCAAAATGTTTTGTTAACTAACGAAATAAATCCCACACTTGGAAAATAAAATTCTCAAAAAGCTTCTGAACAAGTTGAGAAAATCGAGCCTTCTCATTGGATGTTCCGAATCACTTGGAACAAGCCAATAATGTAAAAGCACAAATGCTCCGTTTAGTCCAGATCGCTCTTTTTTTTCAGATCTCCGACCGACAACGTTTTTCGAAGTAGGTGTAAGCAATATTCACGTTCGATCGTTATCGGCACTAGAAATGGTCGCCTTTATAATAAATGTCAATGCATTCATTAGCCACTCATAATAGAAATATATTACATATGTTATAGGACGACCGCTCTCGGTATGTTCTTCGGGATCTTTATTTTACTCTCTGTCTTGAACTAATTACATGAGCCCTATTCATAATAGTTCTATGACAGGTGTCATTCTATAATCAATGTGATAATATCGTTGAATCATGATTGGCTAATAAAATAAGTAAATTCCTGAGCGTGATATCTTAATAACGAGTAATACGAGTGAAAATCTTGGAATTAAACATAGCTTAAACTAAAGTTAATATATGAATATATCGTAAATGTATAGGAAAGGCTTCAAGGAATATTTCTATCATAAGATTCAAAAGAATAGTGCTAAAATAACTAAGCAAAGGGGAAAAAGTGTGTCTTGAGGTGATTCCGTCGGACCGATCGCAGCGAGGTCCGTACAAATGACCGAGAGCCAAAATATTTTCCCGTGCGGCCCGACCTAACTCAGTCAACTATAAGCATTTTATCATATGAACCTAATAAATAAAAAAGGTATTTTACTAGTTGCAAATTATGTCAATACGGTCGCAGGTTTTGAGCAGAGCCGTACGGATTCGTACGGCCCTGCTCGCTCAAAGGCGTACGCTCCTCCTCACGCCATTTTCCCGAAGGTTTTTCTAAGAGCGCGCGCCCGGGCAGATACAGGTCATATGATAAGTAGTTTCTATTTCGGTCAAGGAAAGCTTTGTTTTTTTTTCTCGAAAATATTTTGTATGACAATAATATCGATAAATAGTACAAAGAAGCTTTGTCCTTTATACTATTTATCGTTATTATGTCATATAAAATATTTTCGGGAAAAAACAAAGATTTTTATATTTTTATTATTATTATTATTATTATTATTATTATTATTATTAAATATTATTTTATCATATTTTATCAAATTACCGCTGTGTTTCTTGATTACAGACTCATTTGCACAGGGTTAGCCTCGAGTTTGTTCAGAATATTCGAGTGTTCCAGTCAAGGTTCTGTCGAGTTTCAAAATGTTTGTATTGTTGAAGTTGTACATTCTTTATTTTTCTGTTGTGGTATTTGTGAATATTTAAACACTGATACGAGGCTAACCCTGTGCAAATGAGTCTGTAATCAAGGAAYACAGCGGTAATTTGGAATTCAAATTCGAAACTAGTCTATTAGTTCTAAAGAGCTAGAACGACTAGACACTTAAATAAAAGTGATTTATATATTTTATTATTCTTCATGCAGAGCTTTCCTCCAAAGAGGATTGCAAATTTGAGTGCCTTTCTTGATAAGGTCATTCGCTTTGTCTGTAGTGTTCAAAGCGTTCGACGTCGGTTCAAGGAAATAACCCTCATTATTAAGGCGAGAGAATCACGCATTGTGACGTTCTGTTACTTCAAGTCTGCTGACATGTTTCCAAAATACGTACCTTGGCGATCAAGACATTAAGTTCGCCTACTCTGAAATGTATTTTAGCGATATGAAAGGAATTGGTTTTGAGGTCACAAAACTAAGTACTTATTTTTTAGTGCATGCTTGCAGTTACTCCCCTGCCCCAAAATAAAAATTAAAAAAAGATGTATCTTGAGAAGCTAGCCACTTTTTAAAGCAAAATTTTTATTCAAGATATATACTATTTAATATTTTGTTGTTTGAATAACTTTGTAAAGAAATATTGAAAAATAAACATTTGCCACTTAAGAGGGAGTCTCTGTAACAGCGTGCCACTCGATCTGGGCTCGAAAAATAGATTTCTTTTATATTCCTATCATCGAAAGTACTATCTATCCTCACTACAAAATTGCAGTTAGAATTGTTCTAAATTCTTTTTTCCAACCGCTTTACGAATTTTTGTCCATCAACCCCAAATCAGTGAAAGACGCCGATTTTCGAGGTCGGCCGAGGGCTATTTTCAAAGTCTGTTTTCTCGGGTCTCTGCACATAAAAGCTAATTTTTCTATCCAGAACTTTAGTCTAGTGTAACTTCTGCATAAAAACAGTAATAGTTTTTTTTTGGAATGCGCGAATTCTGAAAAATAATCCTAACTTATCGAGACTACTGAAAGCGTGACATGGAAAGCTAAAATTATGAGACCTCGAATATTGCACATTTCTCATTTGTGGCACCTAATCCAGCCCTAAAATGTCATTCAACCTTGAGATAAGAAGCTATTTTATAGATGTGTGCAATAAAAGTTGCGGCACATTGCGTTTCTACGAAATAAGCTAAGTTTCAAATTGTTCTATTTTCAGTTATTTCCTTGCGTGACACGACAGGCCGTTGGGTCTGTGACGGCTACTTCTTTGCTCATTATCCTAAAGAATTAAAAACCTTAACTTTACAATATTTGTTCCATTATAAGAGATTTCAATGATATACGGCTTCATTTAATAGTGTTTCTATAAGCTGTTTTGAAATTTCACCGCACAGTAATTTTTTTTATTTG